CCTCCTTCCTTCCCTTCCTTTTTCTTAAGATACACAATGGACTGAAGAAGGTGAATGTACATTTTTCAAATACAGACATTACCCCAATGGGCATGTGGCTGTGTGTACAAACCCACCCACTCAGGAAACATACGAAATTTCAAAGCAAAACATGCTTCATCCCATTGCCAACCTCAGGAGGTACAAAATGTGCAATTTTTGGAGGGAGATGCTGACCCAATGAACTTCTTTTCCATCCTTAATGCTGTCCATTTCCAGATGCAGCTGCCCTTGAAGTTTATTAGTAAGAAGAAACACAGAGAGAATCTGGTCTAAAGGATGGTCTTCCTGACTCAACTCTGCAATAGGGAGGCACCACATTGTTATGCTCACAGTACGGTATCTGTTCAAGTGTAAGCAGCTCATTGAACTACCCCTTGTTTGCCAACCTTAGATTCAGGGTGTTGACAGTCAGACCAGAGACCTTGCTAATGTCCATGGTCTGGAAGCATTTCTTTCAAACAGGGCATTTGTTTTCTCTTGAAGATGTCATGCAGCCAGTTGCTTTAAATGGGGGGGGCGGAGTACCGCCATGCATTTTTATCATTTTAGTATTATCACAAACATAATATTCCTGATGCAAGAATGTGACTGTTAGTGAACAGATGCCGAACTGTATTTTACTTAGATAACAGGAGGAAAACTTGTGCAATTGTGCCTACTCTTTGAAAATACTAGGGGTGGGGGAAGAGAGGTGGAAACAAATATCAAAGCAGGCTTTGCGGTCCTACGAAACATTCTCAGGCAGGTAGCTGATAGAGGGAGGAAGGCTCGGTTTAACCACAGAGATAACGAAAAATGAGGCCCATATCCACATGCATTCCCCTCCCCCCTTTGTTGTTGTTTAGTCGTGTCCGACTCTTCGTGACCCCATGGACCAGAGCACGCCAGGCCCTCCTGTCTTCCACTGCCTCTCCTCTTTACAACACCTTAAAAAAACCAGAAAGGTCCAAGGATCTTTCATTACGCTTCATCAACCACAGCATCTCGAATTAGCAGAATAAATAATGCCACAGATAAACCTGTCTTGTGTGACTTCTCTTCCCTACCCCCCAGCCCCCACCCCAACCCAGGAAGCCAAAGCAGTTCTTGTAGCCCTTGAACTAGAAGTGCCAGGGCATGATCCATTCCGTAGGTGCATGGCTGCCCTTGGGAAAGATTTTGCCATAAGATTTTTGCTCAACAGGGGGCAGCGTGATGTCTGTATACCCATCTGAGAGACCCAAACACATGCTTTGACACACTGCCAAAAATTGGTTTAATTTTTTTCCTGGAAAAAAATGTTCTAATTTTTCCTAAGTGTCTTCCAGACCACATCTCCTGTATCCCCTCAACTACTCTGCGTCAGTCTCACGTGAGGGGAATGGATGCTGCACCATTACCAGTATTAAAGCAAGATTTAACTGCTTGTCTGGTTGGCTTCTGTGACTGAAATAGGAGGGGGAGCCATCCTGTTTTTTTGCTTCACAAGAGGACTAGCTGTGTGCCATGGAACGAAAGTGATGAAAAGGGGGGGGGGGAAACACCCGTTAGAATTGATGT